AAAAAAAAAAAAAAATGATAATATATATAAAAATATTATTTCCTTATTTTATTTTTTTAAATACTTATTTGGCCAAAAACCAGGAAATTTAAATATTTCAGGTTCTTGCTCAATAGGTAGTACTGTCTTTTGATAAGAATGCCTAAAAAACCTAAAATTATTTTTTTAAAAAAATAAAATAAAAAATATATTTTTTCTTAATTGTAAAAAAAAAAAAACAAAAAAAAAATGTAATAATTTCAATAATATAAAAGAGAAATATTATGTTATATGCACTGTTCTGTATGTAAAATTTTTTTTTATTTTTTTTAATATGTATAAAAAAATGTTTATATAAATATATATATATAAATATATATAAATATTTCAAATACCTTTATGGGTATATTATGAAATATATACTCATTTTAATAAAATATTTATATTCTCTTTTTTTTTTTTTTTTTTTTTTTTTTTTTTTTTTTTTTTTTTTTTTTTTTTTTTTTATATTTTTTGATAATACATGTATTTTTATTTATATAATTATTATCTTTATTACAAGAAATATTTTTACCATTCTCTTCTTTTTAGCCAATTTCCCACTAGTTTATCAAAAAAAATTGTATTTCTTCTTTTTCTACATTTACTTAAACTTCTTCTTTTTTTTGGTACAGCCATAATATACCAAAAAAAAAAAAAAAATAAAAAAAAATAAAAAAAAAAAAAAACTAATAAGATAAAAGCGTATTAAGATTTCTTGTACTTTATTTTTATGTATTATTTATTAAATTAGATTTTTTTTTTTTTCTTTTTTTGTTAAATATATCTAATAAATAATTAGATATGGAAGAAATATTAAATAATTATCCTAATGTTTATCAACTTAACAAATATAAAAAAGAAAATACTAAATTTATTAATGATTATAAAGTTATTAGAACATTAAGTCAAGGTAACTTCAAAATTAAAAAAAAAATATAAATTTAAATATTTTTTTATAAATGTTTCAATTTTAACTTAAAGTATAAATATCAATAAAATTAACTAAAAATACAAATAATTTATAAAATAATTTATATATACATTTATGTATATATTTTTTTTATAAAAATGTGTGAGGCGTTATATATATTTATAATTATAAAAAAAAAAAAAAAAAAAAAAAAAAAAAATTTTTTTT